TATTGTTCCCCCTCTTTCGTTGTCCTGTTTTATAAAATATTTAATAAAAATCATTTAAAAAAAAAAGAAATTTAAAATTTTTAAATTTTATCAATCTATGTTTTTCATTGTTGTATTCAGTCAAACTGTGTATTGTTTTGATGATATGTAATTCTATTGATGATATGTAATTCTACTTTGTTAGCCGCCCCAAGTTCCTTCGAGGAGATGGTGGCGGGGTACAAATAAAGTATTATTATTATTATTATTATTATTATTATTATTATTATTATTATTAAACACCCTTTCATCCCATCTAATCCCCTGGTCATAGAAAAGAATGGTTTTCACCCCATCTAAAGGCTCATTTACCCAATACAATACAACCCCCATACCCATGAAACTCATACCCATGGTTTCACCGACCTCCAACTGAGAAAATATGTCCTCTCCAGGATTTTATTTGTTTCTCCAAGTGATTCTATGGTGTTCTTCTTCCAGAAGTTACCATGGAGTCACACTGGAGGACCCTAGTAATTTCTAGGGAAGATACCTCTTGGAAGTCTAAAAGCAATATAAAATCTCCTTAGATAGCTTTGCTATTACCCACAGTTCCCTGCTTCCATAGTAAGTTCAGGAACATACCTCCTGCAGATACGGAGATTGTACCATATAGCATTTTGATTCCATTTTAGCTGGCATGGTTTCATCCCATTGAGTCCTGGGATTTGTAGTTTCAGAGTCTTTTGGTGGACTCCAAATTCCAGGCAGTTAAAGGTATCTCTAAGTGCTAGAGGAAGGAACCTAAGATAAAGGCCATCACTAGCTAATGGGGAAGAGTTCTATAGATTACATGTTGTTCTTTCTTTGATTCTGGCTTTTCTGCCAATCCATTTCATGTAATGACCCTGACTTCTAGAATCTTGCACTGCAGCTCATTACGGATAGTTTTGTTGGAATCATTAGGTTTTTATCCTAACATCAAAGAGAAACAAACATTTTTGCCTTTCCTCACAGCAAAATGTTCATCATTTGAGCTGTTTTTAATGTACCTTTTCTACTTGATGTTCTTTCTGACCTTTCTTCTCAAAATGGGGACACAAGCTGACTCATCACAAGAAAAAAGTACAATGTAATGCTGGTGGGTCAAATGTCAGTGGGTAGTGTATCCCCTCTGGGTTTCAGTCCAAATTTTTAATGAGCTATGAAGGGAACTGAATCTATTTGGGGGAGAGGGTTGCCTAACTTTGATGACTTGGATAGTTCTGCTAACATTCAGCCTGAAACCTGGAAAAGGCATGCTGTCCCTTTGACATTGGAGTCATCAAACACCTCTTACCAAAATGTAATTAAATTCAAAATCAAATATAATCAAATTAAAAACATAGTTTCAAAACTATTTAAACACAGTGCAAAGTACATCAAAATAAGGAAAGAATAGACATAGACTTAATAACAAATTTCTTCAATGTTAATAAGAAGAATGGGGAGAAGGGTTGATCAACCTTGATAAAGAGCATTGGAATCTGTCAGCAACCATGTTATGTTTTTTTGAGGCGGGATAACCAGTTTTCCATATTATAGCTTAGTATAGCTTCATCATTCACATTTATAAAAGCATCAAAACACCAGCAGTTTGTGGGTATTGCTGCAGGAGCGACTTTGAACTATCTGTTTTGTCTCCAATATGCCTTTGGCAGCCTCCTCTGTTAATATTAGGCACCCCTAGCAGCCCCTGTCCATGAGCTCAAGTCCTCCTGCTTGGCAGCTGATCCCTGGGCACTTCACCTGCCTCCTCTTTTGCCAGGTCCAGGTGATAGGCTTTGCACTTGGGCATCATTTCTTTCTCTAAAGATATCAAAGGGGATACTGATCTGCATTGCATTTGCATTTCTATAATTTATATGCAAAGACAAACATTTAGAAATCATTACTAGAATGTAAATCTAAGCTAATACATCTCGGCATAGTGGAGAAAAACTGTGACCAAGTGGGTCTACTCTGTCACTTGCTCAAGTACTGCTAACTGTTGATGGATACTTTCAAGGCCTCTGCCCTCTCTCCTAATGGGGTTTTAATGTTTAAACCCAATTCAACCAGGATTCCTCATCACACCCATGAAAGGGTGAAAGATGGAGCTCCGTAAAACAGTGGTTCTCAACCTGTGGATCCCTAGATGTTTTGGATACAACTCCCAGAAATCCCCACCAGTTTACCAGATGTTAGGATATCTGGGAGTTGAAGGCCAAAACATCTGGGGACCCACAGGTTGAGAACCACTGCCTTAACAGATCTAATTGTGTCACTACACTTGTGCAATGGTCATTTGCACAAATGGTTGAGGTGTCCATCCCCATTCCACCCCACCCCGTGGTGAACTAACAGATCCCAGCATCCAATATCCTGTTGCTCAAGTAATTTTCACAGGCAATTCAATAGCAGGACTAGTCTAAGTGTGGTGGTTACAACTAAGATAGAGCTGAACTGCTATTCTGTTTTCTTTCTTTATTCTTTTAAGGAATGAATATGTCCAGAAGTCATCAAGTATCATTGACAGTTCCCCCATTGTGACATTGGAGGATTCTGTCTTGTTCTACAGATTGCAAGAGAAAGCAAGACTGAGGTCTGTTGGTAAAAAGAAGGGAGCAGGGGGAAGCAGAGAAGAAGGGAGGCCAGTTGAGGCAGTCAATTCATTTTGCAACAGTGGTGAGCTATTGCCAGGGATTAAGGGGCTGCATAAGTTTTCTATGGGACCTTGCCATATCTAATTTTTTTAAAGAAATAATTAATTAAAAATATTAGAGAAAATGGTTGGTATTGAGGGAATTGAGGACTTTAACAATTCCAGGATTTGAAGGCTGGAGCCATGATAGTGGAATCATAGTGCTATAACTACAACCTCTCATGGTGGCAGCAGAGCTTCTAGATGTACAAGAGAGAGGATGTTCCCCCTTTTCATTGCAATTGCCTGCAAGGGCTGTAAAAACAGCCACTGCTGCTGCTGTCTTCTTCTCCTCTGCCTTCCAGGTAAGGTCAAGTACAGAAAGCTGAGTGCATTCAAGTGTACATCCAGAGGTGGGAATTGCTAGCACTAGACAACCTCAGTGACAGTTGTTGGTTCCTCTGTCAGTCTGTCAGTGAATCCACTCCAAGTTTTAATTGAACTTTAAAGGAGTTCTCCAAGGTTCCTCAAAAATAGTTTCCAACCTTGGATAGTTCTTTTAAAGTTATCTAAAACATGACATTTATTCACTGTTCCAAAAATATAGAAATTACTAGTTACCACCATTTCTGTTTAATTTTTTTTTAAAAGAGCACGCCTCTCTGGGAAGCCGTCATCAATAACAAGAACATGCAGGAAAGCAGGCCTGAGGGTGAGGTGGAGGAGGAGTTTCTCTCTGGACCCTTGGTTGCTAAACTAGTCCTTGTTTTAGCCTGGTCTACCAATGAAATCCCTCTCATCAGAGTTTGCTTCCCAGTCTGATTCACTTGCCTGTGGAATGGGAGTGTCTCAATGTCATATCCATGATTACTATATGCACAACTTGAAGCATGTTTGGTTTTGAATGCACACCAATCCCATCCCATTCCATCATTTCACAAGTGCAGATAGCATCTGATTTACTGTCCAATACATTGTATATTTTGGATGTACTTTCAAATATATATATGACTTGTATGCACTCCCTGTACCCATTCCGGTGACTCAGTCTGATCCATCTTAGATAGAACATATCCTGTTAAGGAAGGGGGCATGGAACTGCAGTGGTAAAGCTGGTAGATTCATTGCTGGTGGAGCAGAGAATCTACTCTTGATTTTACTGCTACTTCTTCTGCAGTTGCTCCTAGCTGAATGGAAGCATGCTTCTGAAAACTAAAGCTCTGAAATCATGACTGGATCCACAGATTTATCACATCCACAGTACTGGCTCCACCAGTCAGCCTTCTAGATTGCAGTGTTTCCACATCTATGGCTAAATCTGATTGTAACTTCCAAATAGAGCAAACCCATTGAATCAATGGAACTCATCTAAGTCCAGAATGAGCAAGTTCCCCTCGGTTCAGTACTATTATTCTGGTTTAGATTATTAGATGTAGCCCCTTATAGCTGTTTTCCCTCTTCCAACAAGCCTGTATAAGACAGTTTGTAATTAACAGAGAGAATATGTTTGTGTGTGAGCAAGAGAACAACAGAACTGATTCTTTGCACTTCCAGAACAACAATATCTGTCCAATTATCACAACATTCCTTACCAATCATTACTTCCAAATGGAATTAACAAACACACTGAATCCAGAACTGAATCTCAAGCTTTTTTAAAATAAAGAAATGCAGTCAGTCTTTTGGATCTTGAGAGACAGAGCAGTGATGTTTTTAAAAAATCATGTGATCACCACGTGATTCCAGGAAGGGATGACTTCAATGAGAATTGTTTTCATCTCACACTGAACCAGGATATGATGACAAAATGAGTGAGATTTTCTCCCCCTTTGCCTGGTTTCTCACTACTATTGTAAAGCAACAGCATATGAACTCAGAAATGAGCATTTTTTCCAGCTTTTTAGAGTTAGGTGAGGATTATGCAAAGTCCCACATGCAGATATTAAACAGCCACAATCTAGCAACAAAAATCCCTTTCCACATACACCATGATCTTACTTTAGAGGGATCTGAACTAACTGGTTGCTTGCCACAAGCCTTTTGCACAGGATTCATTTGAAAACTTCCTCATATCTGAAAGTTATCTGAAGTCCTTTTTCTGAAAGAAAAACCCTGCTTATCTAAGAAATCTCTTCTGATAGTACTTTATTGCTCTATACCAAAAAAAAGTAATAATATCAGTTCTCGATATTAAATATATCCCAAACTGTTTACCTTGTTAGCTGTGCATACAAGGATTATTTCATGGGGTGGACCTTCAGTACTGTCTGCCCACTTTCACCCAACAGGTACACTTCTTCAGTTTTCCTATAACCTTCTGGTCCCTGCCTCTGTGCTCAAGATTTCTGCTGAGTGTTATGAGCTATGGAGTAAAGGAGTGCAGGGAGAATCATCTTATCAGCAGCCAGTTTTTCTCCCACTACTTGGAAAAATAAAAATTGGAGCTTAATAGGGGCAGCTGGGGCCTGAGGGAGGAAAGACATACCTCTCAGCAGCTCTCCCTGTCAGGATCAGGGCCCATGCCATCTAACTGTCAGCAGTCTTCCTCTCTACTTCCTCTGAGCATCCTCATGTTCTCTATGAGCAAGAGGGGGTAGTTCAAAGCTGTAACTTAAGGCTCAGAGCAGGAGTGGAGGGATGGACCAGCTGTGCAGCCATTGGCTCAGCTCTACAGCTGCTGTACTAGTACATTAGGTTGCACATGTCATCCTTCGCCTCGGTTCCCCTGATGCCTGTGTCACTGTCCTCCTCTCAGTGGAGCTAGGAGGAGAATTTAAGAGGCTGACTTATTGCTTGGGAAAAATTAAAGGACATAACAAGCAAGTGTAGATCAAGGCTGCCCCCATGTGTTTCTCCAAGGAAAAATGAGACATCAAACTATTTGCTGTTCTCCTTGGTGAATGTTGCCGGTTGTTTTCTTCTGTATCGGTCTTTTTTCAGCATATGGCATTAGAGCTTTAATTTCCTGGTATTGATGCTTCCCATGGCAAACAGTAGCTGTCATGCTGGTCTTTATTAGGCTTGGTGTTAACTCCCTGCTACATTTGCATCTGCTAAATGTCCATGTTTACTTCTCAGCTATCCAGGACAGTAGGCTCTCCACTTTTGCAGGGAAAGGGAGTGCCAAATCCTTGTGAAAGTGGAAAAAAAGTGATTTAAAAACACTTTTTGAAAAAAATGGTGAAAGCACTTCTCTAGAAATCTCTAAGTTCTCCAATACTTCCTCCAGTGGAAACAAACCAGAGAGTCGCTCTAGAGGACCTAGAGATTTCTAAAAATAACACGATAATAAAATCCACAACTAATCAAATCTGCAAAAGTGCCAATGAATATGCAGAGCTGGCTGTATTTGTCATCTTGTCTATTCTTGCTGCCATTGTTTCCAGTCCAGGGGAAAATGTTGTGTTAGATCTTTGATCTTGGGAATTCTCAAATCTTTAAGTATTTTGGGTAAAGTCTTCAGAAGAGATCAATGTTTGAATTATTCTTATTTTGGTGTCACTGAATGACAGGTGTTACTGATTGGAATTTTGAAGTATTAATGACGTTGCTGTCAAAGAAACCAGGAATCAGTCCATTGTTGTTCTTACTATTGTCATGTTAACTGAAGCATGTTAAGGAAGGAATTCAACCTAAAGAAGATTTCAAAGTGTTAGAATACATTTTGGAGGAAACATACTGAACGACTTGGACTCTAAGATCTTTAAAGGAGGGTTTTCTCTCAGTCACATCACCTTTCCAAAGTATTTATGGTGAGAATACAGGAGAGGGCTTTCTTGGTGGCTGCTCCTAGGCTTTGGAACTCTCCCTATGAAAACTTGGGGCGGTTCCGCGCATACATTAAACCCACTTCAGAGCAGGTTTAAGAAGCCTGCCCCATGGAATAAAACCACTAATAATTAAATTCGTGACAAACCAGGGTTTACCTGGTTTGTGGTGAATGAATTTGTGTTTCTCTGGGACGTCATCTGGATGGCCCCCTTTAATTGCAGGAACTCTCGCATTAAAAGGGCTGTCTGAATGCGCCCTGAAATGCTTTCCTTTTTGCTGAATTACCATTAGCAAGCATTCTGACATACTTTTAAGATTTGGATGCAAGAAATTTTAATAGTGTGTCATTTTGCTGAATTTTATTTTTCATGATTTAATAGATTTGGTTTGTGTGTTTTTAATTCTATGCAGAGTTTAGCATATTTTAACAATGTTTATATTGGAAACTCCCACTTATTAAGGATTGGATGATAGTGAGAAAATGGAATCAGTTGAAAAGTGAAACCCAGGGTTTTTTAGTTCTCAAATACAAAACTATACACTATGGAGCCAAGTCAACTGAGAGACAAAACAGGGTGGAAAAAAAGCAATAGCACTGGTTGAAAGAGCAAACCAAGGATCGAAAGTACAGAAAATGGCTATAATGTAGACTTGTCAAAACAGTGGAATGTCCAAAAAGGAATCATGAAAAAGCAGGGGAAGGGTATATGTTTTTACTTCCGCCTTTGTTTTTCTATTTTATTTTTTGTAAACTTCCTGGAGTCTGAGTATTGAGGAAAATATGAAATATGAGTACAGTAATAACTATAAAAATAATAGAACTATTTTCTAAATGGGTATACGCATGTGTATGTCTATATGTAAAACACAACCATTTCTTTGTTTGTGTTAGTATTGTTTATGTTCAAACAGAAAGGTCTGTGTTATTTATTTGGTTTAGATCTCATCTTTCTCCCAAAATTGGCATTATGTGATTTCAGCTATTGCAAGAACTGCAGGTTCGGAGGCTCAGCGTAGTTTGCTTTCCTAAAGGCCAAATTAGACATAGATGGTTAAAAGAAAAAAAAACAGAGGTTTATTCTCAATGGCCAAAGAGGATGTCAGCAGGGAAAGCACTCCAAAGTATTGACCTCCCACAATTGCAAGTACAGAACATTTTTATTTCATTTGACAGAGATTCAAAAAACCTGTGCCAGCTCTTGATTGGTCTAGAAACTGTTGAGATATGACCTGCATCCTGAGTGGCTCGGGACTCTGTCCAATGTCATCACTGGTTGGCTCTTTATGGTGGCAGGAAATTCAATAAACTGTCATTGGGGCATTTGAAGTGTCTGTTCATTTATTGATCTGCCTCCAAGAGGGGAGCAATCAGAAAATGCCCCCATGGCAGTGTGGCATTGGGTAATGAGTCCACGCTGAGCTTAATGGGTTGACTCTGGTGGAAGCAATACGGTTAGTCCAAAGTACACAATAAGTCAATGGTTATTATTTATTTTTTATTTACAGTATTTATATTCTACCCTTCTCATCCCGAAGGGGACTCAGGGTGGATCACAATACACATATACACACCAAACATTCAATGCCATTTTGACATACAGACAGACAGAGGCCATTTAGCAGTTCTTCCACCAGGTCCTGGAGGTTGCTCGATTTGGCCACAGGGGAAGCTGTTGCTTCGTCCACTATGATGCCAAATCTTTTTGATTGTAGTATTTCCTCCTTGCTTCTACGGCATTTTTATGGTGTCATAAATTAGCCTTCCTGCTTTAAGAGGTCCCTAATTTTTCTACTCACAGCACACAGCTGTTTTTGAACTGCTTAGGTCGACAGTGAACTGGGCAATTTCTTTTTTTAACAGCTATTTTTTTAAACAGCTATTAACAGTCGGGCACTCCACTCAGGCTTCAAACTTGCTGTTGGGATTCAGTATGATCCTGATCTGTGTGAACCGGATTCTCTGATAGTTTTTCCAACTGAGCAAGCTCTCCCTGACCCTGACAGTGTGGAATCTGTTGTTGATGCAGAGGTCAGCGGGGATGAAAATGAAACTCAACAGCTGGAGGAAAATGTTTTGGAAGTTAGCCATGATATCACTAGCCGTGATATTTCTCCACCTGGGGTTTTTAATGAGGACCGAAGAGAACAGATAGTTAGAGACAGAAATGTTTCCCAGTTTCTACGAAGGTCACATCGTTTACAGGAGAGACAGGCCCAGACGTCAAAGTCAAGGGGCATTTCAAAGAATAGCTTCTTTGGTTTAAGAGGCCTCCTGCCGGGTACCTCTTTAGATCAAAGCAACGTTTGGGACTGTGGCTGTGCCTTGGCAGAATTCCTGTGTTTCATGGCCGGTAATCCCAGAGGCTTAGTTATCAAGTTCATGGTTAGTAAAAGGCTAACAGATTCCTGGTTCTTGTATTGTGGCTTTTGAAATTTTGCTCAAGTTCAGAGATTCTACTGACTGCTGTGTTTTTCTGTGGCTTTTTGACTTTGCATTTATCTTTCTTTTGTAACCAATTTTTCATCAATAAACAAGGATTGCTTTTTCCTACAGTCCAGTGTGGTGGATTTCAACTTATGGTCTCGTTTCTTGAACTGGGATGCAACACTTGCCACCTTTTGGTCGGCAGTGATTTATTGTAGCTGATTAACCAGTTGTGCTATCAGCCCGCCCCAGTTTACCAGCTGATAGGATTTCTGGAAGTTGAAGGCCAAAACATCTGGGGACCCAGAGGTTGAGAAACATTGCAATAAGTGCTTGAAGATGGTGACCATTTCAATAGGTGAGGCTGGCTTGAGGCATGGGAGATGAGCCATTCCCACCAATATCTCATATAATATCAAGGAAACCAGGAAACAGATCTGATGCAAATTCATTATGTGCTGCCCTCATGTCTTCCAGTTCATTGTGAGGAGATCACTGAAATTAAAGGAAAGGGTCTGGAAGTGTTCAGACAGCATTTCACAAACAATTTATACAAAAGGTTACTGTAAGACAAAGGTGTGCTAGCCCATTATATACCCTAGCAGTGCTGAATCTCACATATTATTTATATATTTCATAATTTGGAGTATGATATTACTGGGACTCATAGCAGTTCATAATTAAGATTGGCTACAATGTTACAGAATAAAATGGCATGTAGGTAAATGTTCTAACATTATAAAATAATTAAACCAATTACAATATTATAACACAACTCAGAAGCAATTTTAAAGGACATCAATAAAGAAGGTACAGCACCCATCAATTAAGAGCCATTTCCCAGCAACTACTTAGTTATCAAATATACACCCAACTAAAAAGGTCTTACTTATAGATTATGAAATATAATGGAAATCTCTCTTTTAAGAACAATTAATATGCTAAGCAGGTAGTGAAAATTAAATTACAGTAAAAGCAATATTTATTTAAGTATAAATTCAAATGATAAATTATTTTAGCTCCAGAAACCACAATATAGATATTTGGCTCTTTTTGTGTTTTTAGTTAAATTGTCCTTTTGAGTACAATATGATGGGAGAAATGCAGTATCATTATCTTCATCCCCATTATCGCCCCACCTTTCCCTCAAATGGGACCCAAGGAAGCTTGCATATGGATTAAAACAATTCTGATGTTGTTCCTCACTTATGACAGCCCTAAAACAAATCTCACAGGGTTTTCCTGGCAATATTGGTTCAGAAGGGATTTGACTTTGACTTCCTCTGAGGTTGAGAGAATATGATTTGCCTAAGATAAGATACATGAATTTTAAAATGGTAGTAAAAAAAATGAAAGTTGTTGGATTGAGGTTAAATGCCCTCAAGTGTAAAGAATACTGGTCTGGAAATAGCTGTATTATATGCAAAATGAAAATCAAAACATTATGGTCCAACAGCAGCAGAATA